AGGAGCGGCTGGTGGATTTGAACCACTGAGCTTGAGGTTAACAGTCCTATGCTTATCCTACAGTGCCACACCAGGAGTCCAAGAGCAGATTAGACAGAGAACACATATTCACACACGTGGGGAAGGCAGATGCCAAATGACAATTGTTTACAAGGCAAAAGAACAGAGGAAACCTGGGGGTGCAGACACCGGAGGAACGGACGAGGCCAAAACCCTGATTTGGACTTTTCGCCTCCAGAACTGTGAGAAAATATATTTCTGTTCCTTGAAGCCGCACTTTTGTGGTATTTGTGTTACAGCAGCACTAGAAGACTATGGTGGGCTGATTGTTTTGCGAAGGCTGGGCACAGATGGAGTGCTGGCCACAGAAACTGACTCAGATTCTGTGCCATGGAAGATGGCATGTCTGACCCACTGCTGTTGTCAACAGGACCCAAGGAGATCTCCCCCAACCCCAATGGTTTGGACAGGAGCTGTGAAGCTTTGTAGCCAGCTCCATTCACAAACCTCGCTTTTGGAAAAGTTCCTAACTAGACAAAGTGGAGTTTATCTGATGGCTCCTCTCCAGTTGATGCGCCAGCTGACAGATCGTGGCTGCCTTGCTGGCAGCCAGCAGCTTATGCAAGTCTCCAGGAAGTCCAGGTGCCTGTTCATTTGACACAGTCTATACAAATAAGGTGTTGGGAGCTGCTCAGAAATCAGCAAGTCCATCAGACACTATCTGTGGAGCAGACGGCTGAAGAGCTGGAAAAGTTGAGGGCACCAACCTCTGTGGAGCTTCAACCCATGTCAAACCTTCTGAGAGCACGGCACTAAATGAGTGCACTTTAGTCTGTGAGGTGGAAGGATAAAAGTCTCATGCCACTAACTGCCACGGGCCTCGCCTGCCTTCACATTCTAAAGCGTGAAGCGGCTTGCAGCAAAAATGCTCTGTGAGACATGGATTCAAGGTGTGGGTAGAGCGATGACCTTCCCGGGGATGTGTGTGTTTCCTTTACGTGATATAGTTCCTACGAGAGGAGTCCTTGGGTGGTACAAACGGTTAACACACTGCTAACTGAAAGGTTGCAGGTTCAAGTCCACCCAGAGGTCTTTTGGAAGAAAGGTGTGGTGATCACTTCTAGAAACTAAGTCCTTGAACACCACATGGAGTACAACGCTACTCTGACATGCGGGGGAGGGGGGGAGTCACCATGTGTCAGAGTTGACTTGCATGAAAGAAGAACAAAAATATCAGCAACCCTTGTCCTTGTCAACTAGGGGAGGATACCTGGACTTCTCCCCAACTCTGGGGGCCAGCTGTCCTCCCATGACCTGTCTTTCTGGGAGGAGAGTGACTAGAACAATCCTCCCTCCTCCCCATGGCCTCTCACCCCTGAAGGAAAATCTGGCAGGGTGGGGCCACCAGTCTGCCCACAGGAGCTCCTACAGCATGGGGAGGGGGAGGTGCAGGGGGAGCCGGAAGGAACCACTGTCAGGGTGAGAGGCCCCCCAGGAGGACATCTTGGGAGGCCGGGAGGAGCCACTAAGTTGAAAGGCTCCATAAGGAAGAGTTGAGCCCTCCCCTGAACCCTCAACCACTAGGAACCACTGCAAACTCATCTGGGAGCCATAAAGGGAGGGCTTTAAAACACCAAACCACAGGGAGGCTTTCTTAAAAGAGCCACATCTAGAAGTGGGGGAAGGGCAAGAGTCATGGGGCCAGAGAAGCTCCCCTTGAGGACCAGCTAGTCCACTGCTCGGCTGCTGCATGCCAAAGAGTTGATTCTGACTCATAGCAAGCCTGCAGAACAGGGCAGAACTGCCCATGGGGTTTCGGAGGCTGTCATCTTTACAGAGGCAGATGACAAAGGCTTTCTTTCACTGAGTAGCTGCTAGGGTCCAATTGACAACCTTTCTGTCAACTGTTAAGTGCTACCCACTGTGTCAGCGGGTCTCCTCTGCTTACAGGCAGGCTTTTCCCTTTCTGCAGCTCCACAGTGGGCAATGGTGGTGGGAGACATAGGAGGAGCCCATGCAAGTCACTGTCCTCAGGGTGGCTGCACTGCAGGGCGGTTCCCAGAGAACTCCAAGCCTTCAATTCAAGCCTTCGCTTTGTCCAGACAAGAGGGTCATGGGGAAGGGAGGCTGACCTGGCGCCACATTCAGTGGGTTCCAGTGGTGGGTCCTGAACTGGTTTGTCTACTTAGCAGGAGCCACAGTGGGGTCCAGATTACCTCTAAGAGCCTGACACTAGCCAGACTTGAGCAAAGTTTCTGCCTGTCACATCCTCTGCCCTAGTGGACCATGCAGGACCCAGTTCCTCTGGCTCTCCTGGCACCCTGACAGGTCACCCAGAAGTCTAAGCACAGTGAAGCCAGAAAAGGGTGAATCCCTAGCCAAGACGGCGGAGATCACCACAGGGAGGAAGGTGAGGGTTTTTCTCCCTGCTCGGCAACAGCTGCCTCATAAGGTAAAGTAAACCCTCCTGAAGCAGAGGCCTTAGGTACTCAACCTTGGACCTCCCCTGATGGTCACCTGCCTTCTGTGTGGAGGAGACAAAACATAGGACTGTCTGTCACTGTCTGTCCAGCCCCCAGCCTGATCCTCATGAAAGCAGCAAGAGAGGATTTTCTCTCTCCCAGCAGGCTGTGACTCCACTCCACCCACACTGCCCCTATCAGGACCACCAGTGGCCTCATTTTGCCACACTGGATGGATAATTCCCAGCTGCCAGCATACCCGACCTGGCAGCACTCAGGTCCTCTGGAAGTGCTTTCCACACTGACTTCCAAGACATTTCTCTCCTGGGTCTCCTCCAGCTACACAGCCATTCCCTGTCCACCTCCTCGTCAAATGAGCAAGGGTCTACCTCAGACTTCTGTCTCTGTACCGCCTTGCATGGTTTTAAACACGGCTACCACATGGATGATCCCACAGCTATAAGTCCAGCCCAGACCACTGTCCTGTCCTCCAAGTTTGAATCTCCACCCAAATGTGACCATGAACACCACAGACTTAACTTATGCTTATTGGGCCTCCCCTTCCTGCCACCTGTTTGGGCCAAAGACCTTGGAGTCATCCTGAATCTTCCCTTCTTCATCTCACATCCAACCTACTCACATGTACCTTCCAAACAGTTCCAGAACCTGACTACCTCTCCCCATCCCCATGCTCCCACCTCAGCCCAAGCGATCCCTCCCCTCAATATGGCCCAAAACACAGGCTGTCCCTCTATGAAGGAGCTGGTCAGGCTGGGCTCTGATATGAACATGTCATCCTGTGGCCCTCAGTGCACCACCCTTCCATGCTCTGCTCCACTGACCACATCTCTTTTCCCATCTGGACCCTCCCAAATCATCTGGCCATGGGGAGAGGCCCATTCATGTCTGCCCAGGTCTAGGGCAGGAGAGAAGCTAAGGGGCCTGGGCATCGCGTGACATCATGAGCCTGGTGTAGAGGAGGGTCTTCGCCATTCACCAAAAGTGCCCGAGGTGGACACTCGGGTCACTGGCATGTCTAGTCTCCATTCTGGGTCCAGCTTCCAGGTACACTTTCCAACAGTTTACTCTTATTCTTGTATTCACACTCTCTCTCCCTTTAGAATTTTCCAAACAAGAAAAATGTGGAAAGCATCAAGCTCCCCCTCTGATGGAGTGCTAAACTGGCCAATCCTCTATTCACCAGGGTCTCTAGGTCGTCTCTCAGAACCATTCCGCTCTGTCTTGGTCTCTCTCAGCTCTGCGCAGCTACTCCAGGGGTCTGTGTTCTGCACGTTCTGTGTTGAGCTATGCAAGTTCACAGAGCTGATGAGAACATCAGCTGTCTGTTTCTGTGGGGACATGGCAGGACCATTCTATTGGAGACCAAGAGTCTAAGTGGCCTGCCAATGATGCCACAGACTCAGCAAATTTTTCATCTGTCTGTGTATACACAACAGAAACGAAAGTGCCTTGGGTCCAGAGGAAAGAGGCAGGCCACAGCCCAGGGCTCCTCCAGGGCCTCAGACTCTGCTTACCCACTCTGGACTTCATGTTCCCTGGGAAGACAGACTAACAGAACTCGCTCCACTGGTTCCTAATCCAGGTCTGAGTGACCTCCTGGGAGGTTACCTGCTGGATACACACCTGGCGGGCTCTGCCAGGAGTCCTGTGACCTCAGGGTGTTGGGATGCCCACGTCAGATGGAGCAGCCTGGACACCCGCCAGGGCCAGCAGCTCCTGTCTCATTGCCAGTCAACTCAGGGTGGGGCAGCAGGGTTTCCAAAGAAAACCTTGCAAGAGTTGGCACCTGCCTAAGTTCCCTGGAGGTTTTCTTCTCTAGTATCTTTGGAAGATTAAAAGTAAGGGGCGGGGAAGGTGAAGGGAAGGGAAGGAAGAGGGGCTGGAATGAGAGACCGCAGGGTGTGGAAACTCCAAGACAGAAGGCATGTTTGCATGAGGGAAGGAGCCTCACCCTGCTCACTGGTTTGCAGGAGCTGTTAGAACTCAGGTGCCAGGTCACACCCAAGAGGGTCAGGCCCTTGGTGGGCTGAGTGTTCTGGTCCACCCCTTCCGGTGGTGGGATGTTTGTGTTGGGGAAGGAAAGGACTCACACAGGCATGGACCAGCGGGGGTGAGACTGAGTCTTCAGGAGAAAGAGCCAAGCCAGGTGGAGAGTTCTGGAATGCTGAGACTCCCCCCCACCCCATTACCTCGGGCACACAGCTGGGCAGCCACATAGCCTCCATTTCCATATGGGCTAGTTTCATACATAGATAGATGATAGATAGATAGATAGATAGATAGATAGATAGATAGATAGATAGATAGATAGATAGATAGATAGTGAAATGCCACTCCCTTTCTCAAAGGACACTTGGAAATGTCTGCTGAGATGTCAGTTTCTGGCTTACATGCCTCACTGAACCTGGAGCAGGCAAGAGGGTCTGAACACATGCACTCTCTGCTTAAAGATATCTTCATTCCAATGACTGTGAACTTGACCAGTAAGATCACAGGGACACAAGAGGGGACACTTACGATCAAGCCCGTTCAAGTAGCGCATGCGGATCTCACAGTGGCCCCAGACGGCACTCACTACAGGGTACAGTTTTTTGCCCTTGAGTCCCCGAAAAGCTACTCCCATGTACTGTCCATCCACAATGAAGCTCAGAGTCCCATCGTCCATGTCCAGGGCCACCAGGAAGGAGTCGGGAACAATGAAGGTCTCATCAGGCTCCAGGAAGGCAGGGTACGTTTTGCTCGGTTGGTTCTTGCCATCGTGGTAGAGCCGGTTCCGTCCCAAGTCCCAGCCCCACGACTCGTGGTTGTTTCCCACGAGTGTTGTGTATCCCACGGAGTGCAGGGGGGCATCTGCTGTGGCCACGCCCACTACAGCGTGGGTGCCCCGCTGCCGCATGGCCCACGTGATCTGCCACACGTGCAGCCCCCGAGTGTATCCGACCTTGCCCCGAATGGCGTCCGTGCTCTGGGCCACAGGGTGGCGGTGGAAGATGAGTTTGTCATCCTCCTTCACGAAGACATTGAGTGACCGGTCATTGTTGTTCCAGGAGTGCAAGAGCTGCACGTCGTAGGATGCCGGGGGCATGTCCAGCAGCAGGTCCAGGCGGGTGGGCTTGCAGAAGTCCAGACCCTGCAGCTCCTGCTTCAGTGGTCGGTATGCAGGGTCCCGCATGTCCACTGTCTTGATCCCCCCAGTGACCTTCTGACCCATGCTTGCCTCCGGTTTCACCTTCCCTCAGGAGCCCCGGGCCAGCTCATCAATCCCAGGGTCTCTCGTCCAGCTTTCCGATCAGGCTGGAGCTGGATTCCTCGGGAAGGTTGCTAGGAGACTCCGCAAGTTGTGGAGCATCCAGGGTTGCCTAATGGATGGAAAAAAAAACCAGGAGATGGGTGAGCAGGCGTTCAGGAGGGAGGGGAACGTGCACTGTGACCCCCGAGGCACATCCCAGCTGCCAGGGTGCTGGCCCCGGCCCCACCCGGTCCAGGGGTGGGGGCGGGGATCATCCTTGGCACTGGATGAAATCTCTCCTCAGTTCCACAGTTCAACTGTCACAGAGGAAAGGGGCCACTTGTCATCGTCTGTGTGAAGATGGGGGTTGGGGCTCAGGGTCAGGTACTGTTCTCCACTGTGGTGAGTGTGGTCTGGGACTCAAGCAGACCCTCAGCAGGTGGCAAATGGAGGTCAGATGAGCCTCGGGGCAGTGGACATCACCTTTAGTCCAAACAAGGGGAAGTGTAAACCCTGGCCTTGCTGCTTCGAGCAGAAGGTGGTGCCTCCCCACTCCCAGCTGCCCACAAGTCAACTCGAACACCTGTTGACACCCGTGTCAGAGTGGAACTACACTCCCTAGGGGTTTGGGAAGTCGTTTCTAAGCTTTTCTTCCAAAATGCCTGTGGGTAGATTTGAACCTTCAACCTTTCAGCTAGCAGCCAAACGTGTTGTGTTAGCTGTTACAGACACCCTGATGAAGCTCCCAGTGGCTGTTTTAAACCCTAAAGTGCAGCTCCTCTCTCTCTTTTCCAGTTCATTCTGAGAATGGCAATGCTGGTGTAGGTGGCCCTGAGCAGATTCCCTGTCCCACCCTGAACTGGGGACCACAGAGACACTTCTCTGCAGACCCTTGTGCTGATCCTGTCAGGAGAGCATTGGATGGTCTCCGCTACTCCCAGGGGACTTTGTATAACCATCAGATGACCCCTATTTTTCCTGCTTGCACCCTTCATCTGCAGAGGAGGTCTTGGATGTCTGCCTTCTGCTCTGGCTTCCCGCTTGCCCTGAGTCCCTTGAAGGAGTGGGGAGGTAGTTGGTTAGAAGACAGACCTCACTGTATCAATGTCCTGTCCTCTGCCCCCTCATCACTCTGGGAGAGCTCTATTCAAGGAGGAGGCCTTTAAAAAAAACCTCAGCATAGCTGAGTCAATTCTAATTCAACAGCAACCCTACGGTGACTGTACAGGACGAAGAACTACCTCACAGTTTCCAAAGCTGTAATCTTCATGGAGGGAGCCCTGCTGGTGCAGTGATTAAGCACTCTGCTGTCAACTGAAAGGTCAGCAGCTTGAAACACAGGAGAAAAAGGTAGCAGTTTGCTTCCATTAAGATTAAACGCTAGCCCATTGTCATTCAGTCAATTCCAACTTACAGCAAGCAACAGTCAAGAGAAAAACTGGCCCATAAAAATCGAAATCTTTCAAGAAAGTGAGGCGGTAGAGTGGCTAGAACAGAAGATACTTCTTGAAAGAAAGACCTACAGGAAAAATATAAAACAACATAGGCAGACCAACTGTTACTACAAGAACAAGCCCCAGGAAACATCAATGCAAGTGGTCGGGTCCCCTCAGTGCAAACCCCCTTCCAAGACTAAGACTCAATGGGAATACACACTCTGATTGGTGACCACGCTCGTCACCGATAAGGGGAAGTGAGGGAAAAACAGCAATGAAGTGGCGAGCTAAGCCCTTCAATAGACTTCTGTGAACCCAGGTGAAGACCTGGTTAGCCAGCAGTGTGGCAAGACCTGGGGACTCTTGGGCCCAGAGATAGTGACATAGCCACAGAGGACTAGAGTAGAGAGTGAAGTGTCCAGCTGAGAAGAAGAGAGGGCATATGCATAAGAACACCCACACCTGCAGATAATACCCACTTATCCTGGCTTCAGTGACTGGATGATCAGAGCTTAACCAGAAGTAAAAAGAGGAAAAAAAAAAAAAAGTATTCTCATACAATTTAATGACCTTGATCTACACCTATGGAAGCAGTAGCTCAAAAGAGGGAACAAGTCCTTACAGCAAGAATCATTCCCACACCCTCCACACACAGAGTAGACAGGGATGGGCAACTTGCACACTGGCTGCCCAAAATGGGGGGCGGGAGCTACAAAGGCAAGAAGTGACTGGCTTACAAGCTTTCAAGAGGCAACCTGGATCCAGAGGGCTTGGAGGAAAGTAGAATCTCCACTGAGTAGTATCCAATCTGACTAGGCAGGGCTGATGCAATGAAATGCAGATGGGTCTCTTGTGATACAATAGTGAATAATTGTTATCAGGACTGATTGTGAGGGTTGGAAATGTAAAGGTTGACATTTTATAGCAAGGAAGGGGAATTATTAACTTTTCAGTCTAGGAGTGGAGGTCCCTAGGATCATCAAGGGAGAAGAGCGGAGAGCGGGACCCTACCCAGAGTGGCAGTGATGCCTGAAACGGAGGCAGAGATGATGATGTGGAGCGATGGAGCAGCTGGAGACTTTAGATCCAGAGAGGGAGAGTGACTGTGTGCTGAAGACCTGGGGTGTACGGGGGTCAGGATTGAAGGGTATACCCTTTGGTTGGTTGATGATGCATGGAGGGGATTGTAACCATGGCAATAAGACGATATATGATAGAATGAATGTAAAATTAATGTTCTCCCATGTAAACTATCACATAATTCACAATAAAACATTTAAGGGAAAAAAAAAAAAAAGAAAGTGAGGTGGCACAGGAGGCACTCACTCATCTATGCCAGGAAATTTGGAACACAACTATCTGGCTGACTGATTGGAAGAGATCCGTATTTGTGCCCATTCCAAAGAGAGGTGACCCAACGC